CGCTGCAGAATGGCATCCTCTGGTGTGGCGATGAGGAGTGAGTGCGGGACGTGCCAGGCTGTCAGCTGCTTTGATATGGCTGACGCTGTGACCTGGAGAGGAGTGGAGCGGGTGGGGAAGTGGGGGAGTGGGGAGGGAGAGAAGGGAAGGGGAGAGGGGGGTTACATCACATGGTAGAGAGAGCATGTCAAGGAGGGAGTGCAGCGCATGCCAGGCTCTCAGGTGCAGAGTGCCAGCTGGCAGGCGGTGCAGAATGGCTTCTTCTGGTGTGGCGATGAGGGAGTGAAGGACGTGCCAGGCTGTCAGCTGCTTTCATATGGCCGATGCTGTGACCTGGAGAGAGAGGAGGGGGGAGGGGGAAGAAAAGGGGGAATGAGCAACGAGGGAAGGGGAAAGAAGGAAGCAGGCTCAAGTTACATGGCAGGTAGGTTAAGCTTCTAGCGGGCAGGGAGTGCGGCAGCTGGGTGGCAGGGGCGGGCGGCAGAGTGCCAGCTGGCAAGCGCTGCAGAATGGCTTCTTCTGGCGTGGCTATGAGGAGCGAGTGCGGGACATGCCAGGAGTCTCAGATTCAGCAACTCATCCGCCACACTCCCCCAATAGCCACTAGTGTGCTCTGAAATCACCTGCACCACTCTACATCCCTCTACACCATGCTACACACCTCTCCCTGTGCTCACCTGTATAGGCGAAATAACCAGCAGTCTCAGATTCAGCAACTCATCCGCCACACTCCCAATAGCCAATGGGATGCTGCCACCTGACAGCGGCCCCCTCCTCCCCTCTCCCCTTCCCCCTTCTCCTCCCCCCTCTCCCCCCGTTCCCCCCCCAGTGGAGGACGAGGTAGGGAGAGAGAGCGGGATTGCTGACTCAGACACGACGAGGCTGCTGCTGCTGCACTGATTGGCCAGCGATGACGTGGACAGGGAGAGCGCTGACGTGTAAGCGGGGTGGTGGGCATTGATTGGCAGGTGCACAGTGAACGTGGTGCCCACGTGGAACTCGCTCTCCACTGAGATGCTGCCTCCCATCAGCTCCACTAACTGGGGGGAACGAGGCAGCGGGGAGATGGGAGAGCGGATGAGAGAGTGAGTAAAGGAGGTGCACAGTGAACGTGGCGCCCATGTCGAACTCACTCTCGACAGATATACTCCCTCCCATCAGCTCCACCAGCTGTGCAAGTGACAGGGAAAGGTGTAACAGAAAGGAGAACGAGGCAGTGGGAGATGGGAGAGCAAAGGAGAGAGAGTGAGTAAAGGGAGTGCACGATGAACGTGGTGCCTACATGGAACTCGCTCACTGATATACTCCCTCCCATCAGCTCCACCAGCTGTTTAAGGGGTTGAGCACGGAGCGGAGTGGGCACAAATAAGAAAGGAAACGGAAAGTGGCAGGTGCACGGTAACGTGGTGCCCTGCCCACGTGGAATTCACTCTCCACTGAGATGCTCCCCCCCATCAGCTCCATCAGCTGTTCAAGTGGCAGGGAAAGGTGAAACAAAGAACAGAAACAAATGGGAAAGGTGAAACAAAGAACAGAAACAAATGGGAAAGGTGAAACAAAGAACAGAAACAAATGGGAAAGGTGAAACAAAGAACAGAAACAAATGAGAAAGGTGAAACAAAGAACAGAAACAAATGGGAAAGGTGAAACAAAGAACAGAAACAAATGGGAAAGGTGAAACAAAGAACAGAAACAAATGGGAGAGGTGAAACAAAGAACAGAAACAAATGAGAAAGGTGAAACAAAGAACAGAAACAAATGAGAAAGGTGAAACAAAGAACAGAAACAAATGGGAAAGGTGAAACAAAGAACAGAAACAAATGGGAAAGGTGAAACAAAGAACAGAAACAAATGGGAAAGGTGAAACAAAGAACAGAAACAAATGAGAAAGGTGCACTGTGAGAATGGTCCCCACGTGGTACTCGCTTTCCACTGACATACTCCCGCCCATCAGCTCTACTAGCTGGACGGGTCGAAGAGGAGTGAGGAGAGGGGTCGGGTGAAATGGAAGAGGGGAGGGCTTGTCAAAGTGACTGTTGACTGGCAGAGACCTCATGCCAGTCAGCCGCACAGAAGCATGGCACAATACACACTAAACCCTGCTTCATTTCTGTTATATTCTTGTGTCTTCCTCCTATTGATACTCCCTCAAAGGTGCCACCAGAAAACCCAACTATTTGATCTTGAGCTGACTTTACCAGGGACTCTCTCACCTGTTGTGAGATTTCGACATGTGTTACCTGGGACCCACGCACGCACCTGTTTTGAAATGGCAAGGCCCAGTCCGGTCCCGCCGAACTTGCGTGTGGTTGATGCATCCACCTGATAAGGCAAGGGAGGTGAGGAAGCGAGGGACAGGAAACACAGGATCGAATGAGAGGACAAAAGGAGGGAAGGGACGGAGGGAGCGAGAGAGGTGGACGCTACCGCAACATGTGTGAAACAGAACGGCACGGTGCATGCTGGTAGCATGGCTGGGAGAACAATCAGGGGGTTTCCAGCATTGCCATGCTGCAACCAATCAAGATACAGTGTCGCAAGAGAAGAGAATGTAAGAAAAAAACCCTGAATAAAGAGGTGTTTCAAAACTCCTAACTACGCCCCTGAACTTGTGCTTTGATTCAACCTCATCAAGCTGGTTCTTGTGCCATGGGTCCTCCCAACCAACGCTCCATTCAGCAGGCTTTTGATTGAGTCGACTTGGAGCCGGTCTTCCCAGCAAAGACCAAAAACACAGTGACCAAGGCACAGCTCCATTCAGCATCCGCCCACAGAGTCAAGCCTGCTCCTTTCCTTCCAGCACTTACCTGAGAGAACTTAGTAAAGAGCCGGCCGAGACGCTCCTTGGGAATGCCGATGCCAGTGTCAATGACCTGGCACACCCAGAACTGCTGCGGTACCAATGGGCCGCTGTTGGGTGCGGAGGTGTTGGTGGTGGTGAGGGTGGTGGTGGAAGAGGAGGAGGCGGCAGCGGGGAGGGCGGGGTAAGACGGGGAGGAGGGGAGGGCGGGGGCGGTGTGGGAGGAGAGGCGGAAGATGACGTGTCCACGTTCGGTGAACTTGATGGCGTTGGAAACGAGGTTGATGAGCACCTGATATAGTGGAGCAAGCGAGGGGCGTGTTGAGGGAGGAAAGAGGGGGTCGTAACAGAAGCAGGGAGTGAGGAGAGGCGGAAGATGATGTGTCCACGTTCAGCGAACTTGATGGCGTTGGATACTAGGTTGATCAGCACCTGATGATAAAGCCAGCGAGGGGGACGAGTGGGAACACAAGGGAGTTGGGTGGGTGGGGTGGGTTATAGCAGCAGTGGGTTGACCGCCTGCAGCGCGTTGAAGAGCGTCTGCTCCATCTCCAGCTTGCCTGACAGCGTGTGTGTGCTTTGTGCTCATGAATGCAACCAACCAACCCACCCACCCACCAACCAACCAACCAACCAACCAGACGCACCTGTAAAGTTCTCCCCGAGTCCCCGACCAGGAAGGTAGGAGTGTCCGGCCCGATCTCAATGACCACCTCCAGCCCCTTGCTCTCCGCATTGTGAATGAGCAGCTCCGCCACTCGCTCCACGGCCTGAAGTGCGTTGAAGAGCGTCTGCTCGATCTCCAGCTTGCCGGACTCGATCTTGGAGTAGTCGAGGATGTCGTTGATGATCTGAAGCAGCATGTCTCCCGAGTCTCTTATGGTGACTACTCGGTCGCGCTGCTCGGGAGTCAAGTCGGTGTCCAGGAGCAGTGCTGTCATGCCCACCACGCCGTTCATGGGGGTGCGGATCTCGTGGCTCATGGTGGCGAGAAAATCTGAAGGTCGGAGGGGAGGCGAGGGGGGTAGGGGTAAAGCAGGGTGATGAAAGGCTTGCCGGACTCGATCTTGGAGTGGTGGAGAATGTTGTTGATGATCTGCAGCAGCATGTCGCCCGAATCCCTGATTGTGACTACTCGATCGCGCTGCTCCGGTGTGAGGTCTGTGTCCAGGAGGAGCAGTGCTGTCATGCCCACCACGCCGTTCATGGGGGTGCGCATCTCGTGTGACATGGTGGCCAGGAAATCTGCAGGTGGGACGGGAGGGGGAGGGGGAACGGGGAGGGGGAACGGGGAGGGGGAACGGGGAGGGGGAACGGGGAGGGGGAACGGGGAGGGGGAACGGGGAGGGAGAACGGGGAGGGGGAACGGGGAGGGGGAACGGGGAGGGGGAACGGGGAGGGGGGAAGGGCAGTGAAGGGCTTGGTCGAGCTTGGAGTAGTGGAGGATGTCGTTGATGATCTGCAGCAGCATGTCTCCCGAATCCCGTATGGTTACCACACGGTCGCGCTGCTCTGGGGTTAAATCGGTGTGTCCAGGAGCAGCGCTGTCATGCTGACAACGCCGTTCATGGGGGTGCGGATCTCGTGGCTCATGGTGGCGAGGAAATCTGGAGGGACGAGGGAGGGAAGCACATTAAAGGGGGGGGTGGGGGGGGTGGGGGGGGAGGAAACGAAGTGATCCCATCTTTGATAATCTGCAGCAGCATGGCGCCACAGTCCCATGGGTAGTCTAGACGTGCAAGCCCCCAACCCCCTTACACTACACACCTGCTTTAGCTTGAGAGACCCGTTCAGCCACGTCCTTAGCCTGCACCATGCCCTGTTCGAACATCTTCCTCTCCGTAATGTCCGTGTGTGTGCCCACAAACCCACAAACCCATGGGTAGATGTGCATGCCTCAACTCAATCGCCCCTCCCCACACACCTGCTTTGGCCTGTGACGCCCTCTCAGCCACGTCCTTAGCCTGCACCATGCCCTGCTCAAACATCTTTCTCTCTGTGATGTCCGTGTGCGTGCCCACAAACCCACAAACCCATGTGGATGCAAGTACACCATCTCCCCTTCCCTTCCTGCCAGGCACACACTCCCACCTGCTTTGGCCTGTGACGCCCTCTCAGCCACGTCCTTAGCCTGCACCATGCCCTGCTCAAACATCTTTCTCTCTGTGATGTCCGTGTGCGTGCCCGCAAACCCACAAACCCATGTGGATGCAAGTACACCATCTCCCCTTCCCTTCCTGCCAGGCACACACTCCCACCTGCTTTGGCCTGTGATGCCCGTTCAGCCTCGTCCTTAGCCTGCACCATGCCCTGTTCGAACATCTTTCTCTCTGTGATGTCCGTGTGTGTGCCCACAAACCGCAGCGGCTCCCCGTCCTCTGTCTTGCTCAGCACCTTCCCGCGATGCAGGAACCAACTGGGAGGGGGGGTGGGACGCAAGGAAGGGAGAGTACAAAGAGGTCAGACACAAAGGGAGGAAGTGCAATTCTGAGGAATCTCAACGCAAACTTGGTGGGTGACAGACGCACTGAGGGCCTGCAACCCGCCCAGCATCTGTGATGCGTCAGCATTGCCTGCATCTACCTGCTTGGCCTCCCTCCTTGCATCTGAGCCGTTCACTCGCCTTCCATCTCACCTGTAGCTGCCGTCCTTGCATCTGAGCCGTTGCTCGTTTACAAACTGCGCAGTGACACCGTCCAGATGCTCCTTGAGGTCTGCATACGCGCGGTCCTTATCCTCTGGGTGCAATAGCCGGTCCCACTCATCCAAAGTCGAGCCAATGTCGCCAGGCTCGTAGCTGTGGGGAGAGGGCGGGGGAGGAGGGGGGGTGGATAAGGATGGAGTGCCATTGTGGGGGTAGAGGTGTGTGCGGGAAAACAGGATGTGCTCCCACGCTCTTCCCCACACTCGACACTCTCAAAGAAGGGTGTGTTCCTACGCCCTTGGCAGACTCTAGCATTCTAAATGGACCCCACACTCTACCCTGCGTTCATGCACAATCCACTCACCCGAGCATCTGCTTCCAGCGGTCGGAGAAGAACATGGTGTTGTTGTGCACGTTCCAGTCCCACAGCACACTCTTCCCAGGCTCTGACATTCTCATCTGAACCCCACACTCTAGCCTAGGCCATACCCATCCGTGTGCCCATCCATGTGCCCATGCGCGCCCAGCACTCACCCCAGCATCTGCTTCCATCGGTCGCTGAAGAACATGGTGTTGTCTCGCACGTTCCAGTCCCACGCCCTTGCTGCACTGGCACGCTCCTCTTAACTCCCTCCTAGCAGATACCCATCCATCCATGTACCCACCATGTCCCTGGGCGTTCTGCACTCACCCCAGCATCTGCTTCCATCGGTCGGAGAAGAACATGGTGTTGTCACGCACGTTCCAGTCCCACACACCGTCATCGCTGCCTGACAGCGCGTACAGCCACCGCTCCTCGCTCTCCTGCTCACAAAGAAACGGTGTGTGCAAGAGTGGGGTGCATGTAACAGTGGTGGGCGTGTGAAACATGGTGAAGTGGAGGCGAATTGCAGAGGTCCGGTCCACCCCCACCCAAAACGCACTCAACCCAACCCAACCCACCTTGAGCTTCTTGTCAGCATCGAGCCTCTCAGAGATGTCCCTTAGCACGGCAACATAGAACATGGTGTCGTACGCACCCTTGGACACCCACACCTCCAGAGGTGCCCAACCCAAACCACTCAACCTGAGGTCGGGACCCACCTTGAGCTTCTTTTCGGCATCCAGTCGTTCTGAGATATCTCGCAAAACAGCCACGTAGAACACGGTGTCGTACGTACCCTTGGACACCCACACCTCCAGAGGTGCCCAAACCAAACCACAGTCAACCCAAGGCAGGGACCCACCTTGAGCTTCTTCTCAGCGTCCAGCCGTTCCGAGATATCTCGCAAAACAGCCACATAGAAGACGGTATCATATGTGCCCTTGGAGACCGACACCTCCAGAGGGAACGTGCTGCCATCCACACGCCTCCCGATGCCCTTGTGCACCTTGCCACTCGCCGCATCCAACCCTGCTTGGTTGGTGTGTGCAAGGAGAGGAGGGAGGGGCATTGAGGACGTTAAGAATAAAAAAAGCCAGCAGCTCAGGGGAGCGGGGAGACGTGCTGCCGTGACCCGTCCACGCGCCTGCCCATGCCCTTGTGCACCTTGCCAGTCGCCGCATCCAGGCCTGGGGAAGGTAAGGAAGGAGAGGGGCGGAAACATAATGAGGGAGGGACATTTGAGTCGAATCAGACCTGGGTGCGTGTTAGGCGGGGGACGAGCAAGCCAACACGAAAGACAAAATGAAGACAAGCTCTTTTCTCCTTCCCCCCTCTCGCCTTCCCCATACCCCCTCCCTCCCATTCTCCATCTCACCTCGTGCCGGAAAGTCTCGCTGGCCATTGATCTCCACCATGAGATCCTGGAACTGCAGATTCGCAATCAAGGTAATCTTAGCCCCACATCTCACTTCCCTTTCCTTAACCCTCTGCACTCCACCCATCCCCCCCTCTCCCATCTCACCTCGAGCCAAAAAGTCTCTCTGGCCGTTGATCTCCACCATCAGATCCTGGAACTGCAGGTTGGGCGGCGGAGTGACGTTGCTGCTGTCACGGCTGATGATGCTGCCCCCAGCCGCAACAGCAGCAGCAGCAGCGCCGTTGGTGCTGCTGCTCCCGTTGGTGTCGGAGGGGGTGGGCGAGTAGCCAAACATCTGCCGCGCTGAGAGGTTCATGGATGTGACGTGGCCGCTGTGAGAGAGCGACATGATGCCCTCCTTCGCCACCTGGTGGGGGGAGAGTGAAGGATTGGGGTTGGGTGGGGCATGGGAGTGAGAGGCAGGCGGCGGAGAGGCAGAGAGACCATTTGAGAGAGCAAGAGAGAGGTTCATGGATGTGACGTGGCCGCTGTGAGAGAGCGACATGATGCCCTCCTTGGCCACCTGGTGAGGGGGAGTGAGGGATTGTGAGGATGGTGGGGATGTTGGGGAATGGGAAACAAGCCAGCGAACTCTTGACTGGACAAGAGAGCCACCTTGGTTGGAGATGAAATGGAGGGTGGTGTGAAGCGAAACCAGAAACAAGAGGTTTAAGCATATGATGTGATGTGATGCAATGTGCACACACGCTCTCCATATCTCCTGCTACTCACCTGCAAAACGCTGGACAAGTGCAACAACTCAGCCTCATTCCTCACATTCACTGCGTGAATTATCATCAGCGGCTCAATCTCCCCCCCCCCCCTCTCTCTCTCTCTCTCTCTCTCTCTCTCTCTCTCTCTCTCTCTCTCTCTCTCCCTCTCTCTCTCTCCCTCTCTCCCTCTCTCCCTCCCCCTATCTCCCTCCCCCACTCTCCCTCCCTCTCCCTCTCCCTCTCCCTCATTCCTCACCTGCACAACGCTGGAGAGGTGCAGCTCGGCCTCCTTTCTCCTCTTCCTCTCGTTCACCGCATAGATCATCTGAGCAATCGTCATTGTCAGCGGCTCAATCTCCTTCACCAGCTGCTCATCGTACCCCTGCAATCGGTTTGCCACTCCAAAGATCCCAATCAGCTCCGTGCCTGCAGAGTGGTTAAAAGTTGGGGACAGGAGGAGGGGAGAGAGGGGAACAGGGAAAGGTTCAATCTCCTTCTCACCAGCTGCTCATCGTACCCCTGCACGTGAAATGAGGGTGCTTTTGAGACGTCTCAAAAGCCTCTTTAACCAGCTGCTCATTGTACCCCTGCACGTGAAATGAGGGTGCTTTTGAGACGTCTCAAAAGCCTCTTTCACCAGCTGCTCGTCATACCCTTGCAGGCGGTTGGCCACCCCGAAAATTCCTATAAGCTCCGTGCCTGCACAAACAAGCAAGGGTAGAAGGGAGACAGAGGGAGGCTCAACCTCTTTCACCAGTTGCTCGTCACACCCCTGCCTGCCCTGCAGGCAGTTTGTCACTCAGAATATCCCAATCAGCTCCGTGCCTGGAACACCTGGGTTGCAGGCCGAGGGGAGAGAGGGGAACAAGGAGTGGTTCAATCTCCTTCTCCAGCTGCTCATCCCCCTTTCCCACACCCCCTTCAAACCCTCTCCTCTCCTCCCTCTCACACCCACCCCCTCTCACCCCTCCCTCCCAAGCCCATCCTCTCACCCACAAACGCAGAACAAAGAACTTCTCAATCACAAGGTCCCCCAAAGGCACGAGATTCTGAGACTTGTGACTGCCCCTCACTCTGTTCCCTCCCTTCCCCTCCTAATACCCAACCATCCCTCTCACCCACCTGTATACAGCGGGATCCCCATGAACTTCTTGATCACAGGGTGCCCTGGAGTGGAGGAACCCCGCTGGCACGGCGAGCGTCATTGGAGAGCACCTGCTGCCCTGTGAGCACCACGGCGCCGTGCAGCCCACCACACCCAACAACACTCAACCTCACCCAACCGCACCCATCCTCTCACGCCATAACCCACCTGTGTACAGCGGAATCCCTATGAACTTCTCAATAACAGGATGCCCAGGAGGGACCCCCCTCGCCCGCGGGTCATTCCTGACATCATTGGAGAGCACCTGCTGCTCCGTGAGCACCACGGCGGCGTGTAGCGTGTTCATGTGGGTGATCACGAGGCCTTTTGAGTCGACTCGACTTTTGACTTTTGAGTCGACTCAAAAGTCAACTCGCCGTGTAGCGTGTTCATGTGGGTGATCACGAGGCCTTTTGAGTCGACTCGACTTTTGACTTTTGAGTCGACTCAAAAGTCAGCTCGCCGTGTAGCGTGTTCATGTGGGTGATCACGAGGCCTTTTGAGTCGACTCAAAAGTCAACTCGCCGTGTAGCGTGTTCATGTGGGTGATCACGAGGCCTTTTGAGTCGACTCAAAAGTCAACTCGCCGTGTAGCGTGTTCATGTGGGTGATCACGAGGCCTTTTGAGTCGACTCGACTTTTGACTTTTGAGTCGACTCAAAAGTCAGCTCGTCGTGTAGCGTGTTCATGTGGGTGATCACGAGGCCTTTTGAGTCGACTCAAAAGTCAACTCGCCGTGTAGCGTGTTCATGTGGGCGATCACGAGGCCTTTTGAGTCGACTCAAAAGTCAACTCGCCGTGTAGCGTGTTCATGTGGGTGATCACGAGGCCTTTTGAGTCGACTCAAAAGTCAACTCGCCGTGTAGCGTGTTCATGTGGGTGATCACGAGGCCTTTTGAGTCGACTCAAAAGTCAACTCGCCGTGTAGCGTGTTCATGTGGGTGATCACGAGGCCTTTTGAGTCGACTCAAAAGTCAACTCGCCATGTAGCGTGTTCATGTGGGTGATCACGAGGCCTTTTGAGTCGACTCAAAAGTCAACTCGCCGTGTAGCGTGTTCATGTGGGTGATCACGAGGCCTTTTGAGTCGACTCAAAAGTCAACTCGCCGTGTAGCGTGTTCATGTGGGTGATCATGAGGCCTCTACCTTCCCTCTCTTCCCTCCTTCCCCTCCCACACAAGGACACCAAACGACCCCATGACCCACCTGTATACAGAGGGATGCCCATGAACTTCTCAATCACAGGGTGGCCTGGTGGCACTCCTCTGGCACGAGGATCATTCCGGGCGTCGTTGGAGAGAACCTGCTGCCCCGTGAGCACGACAGCGCCGTGTAGCGTGTTCATGTTGGTGAACACGAGCCCCTTGTGCGCGTTCGCCGCATACCATGCCCGCAGCTCCTTGGTCCATGCCACGTTCGTCATTGCATGTGTCTGCAGAAGGGGTGGGGTGAGCCGAGGGAAGGCAGGGGGAATTGTTGAAGGGACGGAGCAAGGGAGGGATGTTAAAATATATATTGTGTAGCATGCCAACACATGTGACTGTACACCAATTGTGGTGTACAGTTGGGTTGGGACTACACCCAACTTTGGGTGTAGTCTTGCACTTTGGGGTGCCAATCCACCCAATTGTGGTGGAGCCCCCAAATGCAACCCTCTTGACTTGTGGGTACCTCACTTCCCACAATTGAGGTTACCCCAAGCCAAGTGGGCCTAGGGTTGCCTCACTTCTACAAAGTGTGGGCAACCCAACCCACTTGACCTATGGTTCCCTCACTTCCCCAAGTGAGGTCAACCCAACCTATGGTCACTTTCATCCTTCCCTTCCAACCTTCCCTTCCAACTATGTATGCTAGGTTGTTCCTCTAATCTAATGACTTGTTCAATTTGCTACTTTCACATGGTATAGAGCTACTTGTTCCTAGGCCTTACCTCTCCCTCCCTTCAGTTTTTTTTTTTTTCCCATGGGCCCACCCCACAGCTACAAACCCTTTCCTACGCGTGGCTCAACTAGCCATCACTAGCATACTCTCGCCGCGACCTACGCCGTCGCCGCCGTTCCCCCCCCCTCCCGCCGCGATTACGCCTTCCTCGCCTGCGGATTCCACCGCCGCGAGCGCAACGCCGTTGTCCCCTCCTCCCCCCCGCCGCCTCCCCTTCTCGCCGCCGCGCCTGATTCGGCGCCGCCTGCGCATCCTGCCGCCGCGACGCCTCGTCGCCGCCTGCCCGCTGCCCGTCCCTCCGCCGCGACGTCACGTCGCCGCGTTCCCGCCGCCGCGCCTGCTACGGCGCCGCCTGCGCATCCTGCCGCCGCGACGCCTCGTCGCCGCCTGCCCGTCCCTCCGCCGCGACGTCTCGTCGCCGCGTTCCCGCCGCCGCGCCTGCTTCGGCGCCGCCTGCGCATCCTGCCGCCGCGACGCCTCGTCGCCGCCTGCTCGTCCCTCCGCCGCGACGTCTCGTCGCCGCGTTCCCGCCGCCGCGCCTGCTACGGCGCCGCCTGCGCATCCTGCCGCCGCGACACCTCGTCGCCGCCTGCCCGTCCCTCCGCCGCGACGTCTCGTCGCCGCGTTCCCGCCGCCGCGCCTGCTTCGGCGCCGCCTGCGCATCCCGCCGCCGCGACGCCTCGTCGCCGCCTGCCCGTCCCTCCGCCGCGACGTCACGTCGCCGCCTCCCCTACCCGCCGCCGCGCCTGCTTCGGCGCCGTCTGCCCGTCCCGCCGCCGCGACAGCTCGTCGCCCCCTGCCCGTCCCGCCGCCGCGACCTAACATCGCCGCCTGCGCATTCCGCCGCCGCGACTGCTCGTCGTCACCTCCCCGCCCCCCCCCCCCCCCCCCCGCCGCGATTTCGCATTGCCGCCTCCCCTCCCACCGCCGCACCTGCTTCCGCGTCACCCACGCATCTCGCTGCCCCTTCTGCATCGCCACCCTCCCGCAATTTCCCCCGCCGCAACTGCAACATCGTCGCCCCGCGGTTCCCGTTAACGCCACTGCGCCGCCGCCGCCCTACCGCCGCGACTGCTTCGGCGCCGCCTGCCCATCCTCCACCGCGACCGCGCCATCCCCGCCCACACTTCCTGCCGCCGTGACTGCCCCGTCGCCGCCTGCAGATTCAGCCGCAACTGCACCCTCCCTTCCTCCTCTCCCTACTCCTCTCCCCCCCCCCTCCCCCTCCCCCTGCGCCCCTCGTTGCCGCGGCCTGCCTGCCGCCGCCGTCCCTCGTTTCGCCGCCGCGGCCCTTCCGCCGTCGCCTGCGCCCCTCGTCGTCGCGGCCTGCTCGCCGCCGCCGCCCCCGACTTTGCCACCGCCTCCCCTTCCCGCCGCCGCACGTTCGCACAGCCGCCTGCGCCCTTGTCACCGTCGCTCCCTGCACCTTGAACGCCTCTGCCCTCCACCGCTGTCTCCCTCCTTTACCCCCCCCCCCCCCCCCCCCCCCCCTCCCTCCTCCTGCCAGCGGCAGCAGCAGCGGCAGCAGGGGAAGTGCAGCAGCCTCCGCAGCAGCAACTTCACCCTTGGCCGCCGCGGGTCCACCCGCCGTCGCCCATCATGACTGCTACCCCCCCTGCCCCTCTCCCCCCTCCTCACTGGAGCAGTGTTACTCCTCGCCCCTCCCTTCTCAACACTCCGACCCTCCACTCCTCCCCCCCCCCCTTATCTCCGCCTGCTCACCCCCTCCCCCCCTCCCCATCTGCGGCGTTTCCAGCAGCTCCAGCATCAGCAGCAGCAGGACTTCCAGCAGCGGCAGCAACCACAATTTCTCCAGCCGCACCCCCCACATCTCCTCCAGCCGCGGCAATCGCAGCAGCAGCAGTTCTTCCAACACCAACAGCAGCCGCAATCTCTCCAGCCTCACCCGCCACAGTTTCTCCATCCCCAGCAGCAGCAGTCCTTCCAGCCGCAGCAGCGGCAGTCCTTCCAGCAGCAGCAGCTGCCACAGTTCCTTCCACCGCAGCAGCAGCAGTCCTTCCTGCAGCAGCAGCAGCCACAGTCTCTCCAGCCGCAGCAGCAGCAGTGCTTCCAGCAGCAGCAGCTGCCACAGTTCCTTCCGCCGCAGCAGCAGCAGTCCTTCCAGCAGCAGCGGCAGCCACAGTTTCTTCAGCCGCAGCAGCAGCAGTGCTTCCAGCAGCAGCACCAGCCACAGTTCTCTCCATCCGCAGCAGCAGCAGTGCTTCCAGCAGCAGCAGCCACCACAATCTCTCCAGCCGCAGCAACCGCGGCAGCATCGGCGGTGCTTCCAGCAGCAGCAGCAGCCCAATCTCTCCAGCCGCAACCGTCACAGTCTCTCCCACCGCAGCAGCCGCAGCAGCAACAGTACTTACAGCAGCAGCACCCGCCGCTCTCTCCCTCTTCTATCCATGAAACAACTCTCCAGTACTCTGTGTTCCCTCCCTCTCCTTCCCCCCCCACCCTGGACTTTGTCCTTGACAGTGGGGCCACCGAAACCGCACTAAAAGACGCTGGCACCCTCACCCCCCTTCCACTTCCCACCCAGGTTCATGGTGCCGACTCTAGCTTTTCCATCCCCTGCACTCACCTCTCCACCCTTCCTTGCACCGCCTTCCCATCCGGTACAGTCACCGGTCTCCACATCCCTACCCTTCGCAATAACCTCCTCTCCCACCGTGAACTCCAAGGCGTTGGCATTACCGCCATATACCCTGGCTTTGCTTCCTACTGCGATCTCTACCACACCGCCTCTGGTCGTTTCCTCCTGCGCATTCCCCTTTGCCCTCGCACTCGCCTTTACACGCTCCGCACACCCCGTCCCTCCTTTTGTCACGTCACCACTCGTGCTGGTACTTCCACCGGTCCCCTTCTCCCTCCCCCTCACCCTCCCCCTCCCCCTCCTCCGATATCCTCCTCCTCTACTCCATCCGCCTCCTCCTCCCCCCCCAACTTTTCCCCCACCCCATCCCCCTCCTCCTCTACTGCCCTCTCCCATCCTGCAGTGCTCCTACATCACAGACTCGGCCATCCCAACTTCGCCGCACTTCGCTCCACCGTCACCTCTCGCCTCCTTAACAGCCTTCCTCCCACCTTACCTCCCCTCCCCTCCTCCCCTGCTCCCCCATGCCCATCATGCATTCATGGCAAGCTCAAACAGTCCCCCCATCACAGTCATCCCACCTTCGCTCCCGCCCCCATTGACCTTGTTCACATGGATCTCTGGGGCCCTTATCCCATCCGCTCCCGTCAGGGGCACAGGTACATGCTCGTGCTCGTCGACGACCACAGTCGGTACTCCACCGTCTTCTTTCTTCACACGAAAGACCAGGTGCCGGCTGTGGTCATCAACTGGGCTGAGCAGTGCCGCAACCACTTCAAACGTCCCATAGGCCGCCTTCACTCTGACGGTGGGGGTGAGTTCATCAATCATACTCTCTCCACTTACTGCAAAACATACGGCATTCAGCAGACCACCACCCTTCCCCACTCCCCTCAGCAAAACGGCATCGCTGAGAGTCGCATCCGTGAGATCACCAAGATTGCGCGCTGCCTCATTGCTCACGCCTCCACCCCTCCCTCCCTCTGGAGCTATGCCCTCATTCATGCCGCCCTCCTCCTCAATCTCCGCTCCCACCCTCAGCATCCCTCCTCCTCCCCCACAGAACTCTGGTCCAAGGCCAAGCCTGACGCCGCAGGCCTTCGTGTTTGGGGCTGCAAGGCGTTCGTCCTCATTCCACCGGCCGACCGCTCCCGCGCTGCTGGCAAGCTCGCTCCTCGCGCTCTGGAGTGCGTCTACCTTGGGCACAATCGTGATTCCCCAGGCTACCTATTCCTCCACCCTCCCACCAATCGCCTCATCCGCAGCATTGACGTCGTCTTCGACGAGTCCACTCCCTACTACTCCACCCCTCCTCCTGACCCCCTCCCTCCTCCCACTCGCCCCCTCGCTTGGACCGACACCATCCTCCCGCCTCTTATCCCTCCAGCGCCTCTCCTCCCACCTGTCGCCGCCCCACTCCCGCCTTCCTCCTCTGCCGACGTCTACGACCCTGCCGCACCCGCCTCCCCCGCTCACTCAGCTGCACCCCCTCCCCCCTCTCCCTCCTCCTCTCATTCTCCTCCTTTCCAGCAGCCGGATCAGCAACAGCAGGGGCAGCAGCAGCAGCAGCAGCAGCCGGATCAGCAACAGCAGGGGCAGCAGCAGCACCAGCAGCAGCAGCAGCAGCAGCAGCAGCGGGAGCAACACCAGCAACGGCAGCAGGGGCAGCAGCAGCAGCAGCAGCAGCCGGGGCAGCAGCAGCAGCAGCAGCAGCAGCAGCAGCAGCAGCAGCAGCAGCAGCAGCAGCAGCAGCAGCCGGAGCAGCAGCAGCAGCAGCAGCAGCCGGGGCAGCCGCATCAGCAGCAGCAGCACCAGCAGCAGCAGCGGCGCCGTGCCACTTCCCGCTCCTCCCCCTTCCTCCTCCCTTACATCCATACCCGCTCGGTGGACAAAATCCTTGGGGCTCCTCCTGCCTCCATTCAGCTCCTTGAGGACTCCCATGAGGAGTTCCTCAACATTCGGGAGCACACTCCATTCCTTGCCGCCCTCTACCTTGACTTCCTGGGCTTTCCTGTCCTTGGCGCCACTACTACCCCCACCATCTTCACTCCCTCCACCTTCCAGGAAGCCATCACCTGCCCTGATGCGGATAAATGGATAGCAGCGATCTTCCTGGAGTGTGAGGCTTTCATTCGCAACGACTCCTTTGTCGATGTCCCCCTCCCTGCTGGCGCTAATCTCGTTGACGGCAAATGGGTCTTTCGGGTGAAGCAGCTGCCGGGCGAGGAACCAGTGTACAAGGCCCGCTACTGCGCCAAGGGGTTCACGCAGACTTGGGCTGAGGACTACTGGTTCACCTACGCCCCCACCGCCAAACCACCCACCCTTCGCGCCGCCATGGACATTGGTGCACGTGACGACATGGAAATCGACTTTGTGGACGTCTCCAATGCGTTCCTGCAGGGCGACCTGCATGAGCGCATTTTCCTCCGGCGACCCCCCGGGTTCCACGCAGCCTTTCCTGAGAACACTGTCTGGCAGCTGCGTCGCCCCGTCTACGGCTTGAAGCAGGCACCGCGTGAGTGGCATGCGAAGCTGGCTGCCACCTTGGGGTCCCTCGGCTTCTCTGCTTCCCACTCCGACGCCAGCCTCTTCATCCGCTCCTCCCCCCGCCGCTTCTTCATTCTGGTATATGTCGACGACATGATCCTGCTCTCTGACACCAAGGCCGACATGGAGCAGGTGAAGCTGTCCCTGCAGCAGCGGCTCAAGTGCAAGGACCTTGGCGCCCTCACTCACTACCTCGGCATGACCATCACGCGCAACCGCCCTGCTCGCACAATCACCCTCTCCCAGTCCCATCACATCGGCCAGGTCTTGGAGAAGTTCGACATGGCGCAAGCCAAGCCTGTTTCCACCCCGCTCCCCTTCGGTCACCAACTCGCTCCACCCACCTCCCCCACCTCCCCCCCCCACCCCTATGCCGAGCTCGTTGGGTCCTTGATGTACGCAATGATGTGCACCCGCCCCGACCTCGCCTACCCCATCAGCGTGCTCGCTCGCTTTGTCGGCACCGGTCGTCACTCTGAGGAGCACTGGAAAGCTGCCAAGCGGGTCCTCCGCTACCTTCGCGGGACCAGGGACCTTGCCCTCACCCTCGGCGGCCCTTCCCGTCCCCTTCTCTCGGGCTTCAGTGACTCCTCATGGGCTGACACGCAGCCGGACCGCCGCTCCTCCCAGGGCTACGGCTTCACCCTTGGCAGCGGCCTCATCAGCTGGCGCTCCACCCGCTCCTCCGCCATCTCTCTCTCCACCTGCGAAGCCGAGCTCTACGCTGGCACCATGGCCGCCCAGGAGTCGCGATGGCTCTGCTTCCTTCTTGCGGAGCTTGGCGCCCCCCAGACGTGCCCCACTCTCTGGTGCGACAACGCCAGCACCATCCATCTCACTCAGGACCCCGTCTATCACGCCCGCTCCAAGCACATCGAACTCCGCTACTTCTTCGTTCGCGAGCTCGTCCAGAAGGGCCTCATTGCCGTTCGCAAGATTGCAACCGAGGCCAACTTGGCCGACATCTTCACTAAGGCCCTCCTTCGCCCCGCGCACTCTGCCTTCCTCCGCCTCATTGGCCTTGCTCGCCCGGGCGCCCCTTGATTCAGGGGTTGTTCTCTTCTTGTGTTAGCATGCTAAGGGGTTGTGTTAAAATATATATTGTGTAGCATGCCAACACATGTGACTGTACACCAATTGTGGTGTACAGTTGGGTTGGGACTACACCCAACTTTGGGTGTAGTCTTGCACTTTGGGGTGCCAATCCATCCAATTGTGGTGGAGCCCCCAAATGCAACCCTCTTGACTTGTGGGTACCTCACTTCCCACAATTGAGGTTACCCCAAGCCAAGTGGGCCTAGGGTTGCCTCACTTCTACAAAGTGTGGGCAACCCAACCCACTTGACCTATGGTTCCCTCACTTCCCCAAGTGAGGTCAACCCAACCTATGGTCACTTTCATCCTTCCCTTCCAACCTTCCCTTCCAACTATGTATGCTAGGTTGTTCCTCTAATCTAATGACTTGTTCAATTTGCTACTTTCACAAGGGAGACTGGAGGAAGCGAGCGTGCTAGAGTGAGTCCCTGACAGCTCTGCGGCGCCGTGCGGGCACATAACACTGGCCCCAGGTACGCAGGCTCTCTCAGGTGAGCGGCCATATCATCTCGGCCCAGCACAGTGGGTGCTAGAGGAACAGCGGGTGCCAAACGGCATCTCAGTCCGGCCCAGCACACAGCCCGGGCCTCAAAGCTCAGCAGGTATAAGGCAGGCACACCCCACGCCCCACACACACTCCACACAGGCCGAGTCCATCCCAGCGCCCATCACCACACAGCACCTTGAGGTAGGGCGTGCCGTCGGCCTTGAGCAGCGCGGAGGAGATGAAGCCGAAACTGGACTCGGTGACCTCCAGGTGGGCGGAGAGCAAGAGACGAGGCAGGCACTCCCTGCACACCACACCACACCCCACCCACACCAGGCCCCCGACCCCAGCACCCAGCAGCAACCAGCAGCACCGCACAGCACCTTGAGGTATGGCGTGCCGTTGGCCTTGAGCAGCGCAGAGGAGATGAAGCCAAAGCTGGACTCGGTGACCTCCAGGAGAGCAAAGAGCATGAGGCGAGGCAGGCACACCCCATACCCCACACCAGACCAGCCCCACCCTAGCACCCAGCAGCACCGCACAGCACCTTGAGGTGGGGCGTGCCGTCGGCCTTGAGCAGCGCAGAGGAGATGAAGCCAAAGCTGGACTCGGTCACCTCCAGGAGAGCAAAGAGCATGAGGCGAGGCAGGCACACCCCATACCCCACACCAGACCAGCCCCACCCTAGCACCCAGCAGCACCGCACAGCACCTTGAGGTAGGGCGTGCCATCGGCCTTGCGCAGCGCGGAGGAGATGAAGCCAAAGCTGGACTCGGTCACCTCCAGGAGCGCCGACAGCAGGTAGTCAAACACGAGACTGCCGTTGGGCTCCTGCGGGATGGGCGGGGCAGGGTGTGGATGGTAGAGGAGGGGACGGAAGTTGCCGGATGGGGGAGAAACGAGGGGAGGCGAGGGGAGGCGAGGGGAGCAGAGGGGCAGTTAGGGAAGGGGCAAGGGTGGTGAAGGAAAACGAGTGAAACTGCCAGCAAGGACCCCATTCGCACAGGACAATGGTAAGGATGGCTCGCAGCAGAGAGATCATGCCAAGGACCATGCCAGCAACCGCCTTTTGCCATGATGCACGCAGCACCGCCCGTGTGAACAGAGCACAGCCTTCATGGCCTTCATGGCCTTCATGGGCCTCATGGGCCTTCATGGCCTTCATGGCCTTCATGGGCCTCATGGGCCTTCATGGCCTTCATGGCCTTCATGGGCCTCATGGGCCTCATGGGCCTTCATGGCCTTCATGGCCTTCATGGGCCTCATGGGCCTCATGGGCCTTCATGGGCCTCATGGGCCTCATGGGCCTTAATGGGCCTCCACACCCACCGTATAAATGAAACACGTTTGGTGCGCCCCACCTACCCACCTTGTCAACAAAGCACAGCAGCTTCCCCTCAAATGAAACTACATGTCCTTCACCGACCTTTACCACCCTCCACCACGCTCACCTTATCAATAAAGTACACTTGATGTACGTGAATGATAGCAGGAAGCTGTTTACACTTGGCAAACAGCTTCCTCTACACGCCCTTCACCGCCGTTCACCGCTCGTCACTGCCCTTCACCTCCCTTTACCACTCACCCTATCAAAGTACACTTGGTGTGCGCGAGTGATAGCAGCCAGCAGCTTCCCCTCAAGTGGCTCTAACACCCTTCACCGCCTTTTTCCCCTCACCTTATCAATGTGCCTCACTGCCCACCACACGCACCTTATCAATAAAGTACACTTGGTGTGCGCGAGTGATAGCAGCAAGCAGCTTCCTTTGCAGCGCCTCAGACATGCTCATAGTCCGCATCAACGGCCGCTGTGGTCCCCCCAACATCCCCCCTGCCCCTCCCCCCATCCCCGTCGCTCCCCCCATTCCCCCCGCCGCTCCCCCCACGCCTCCCCCCTCCGCGCCCATCCCCCCTCCCCCTCCTCTCCGCATTTCCCAAGAGGAACTCTCGTGGAAGCTTCTGCTGGTAGGCCCCTCGCCGCTCATGAGGTGGTGGGGTTGGGCGAGGTGTCTCGGGCAGGCATCCGGAGCACCCATTCCCCCTGCTCCGCCCATTCCGCCACCCATTCCTCCGCCTCCCCCGCCCATGCCATCTCTCCCCATCCCCCTCACACTGTATTCCGACCCATAATGCGTTGACTGGCTGATTCTCCCCATGACCGCCCCTTCCGCCCCCCCCATTCCCCCGCTCATCCCCCCATGCTGCCGCCCCGGCGAGCCCATATAAGACATAGTTCTGCCCGTTCCGGTGCGAAGCATCGGGTGACTTGGCGACCCGCCTCGGGAACTCCTCCCACCGGAATGGTCAGATAAAAATTCCATCTGCCCGTCAGGAGATGGCTTGGAATATTCCACAACGCCATAGGGGGGATGACCCGACCCCTGACCCCCGCCCTGCTGCTGCTGCCACCTGGCAGCTCCGGATTGGGTGGAACTGGGGGACCCGGGCGCGGAGGAGGTGTGGGAGAGGGTGTGCGCGGGGAGGTGCGGGTGGTGCGGGGGGAAGATTCCGCAGCGGTGCAGCAGCGCCAGCGTCTTGGGGTGGTCCGCGCCGTCGTCGCGCAGGTGCCCGCACTTGCGGCACCTGGTGGGACGGAGGAAGGCGGATGGCGAATGGGGGTAGGGGGATGGGGAGAGGGGGGAAGGGGGAAGGCGGAAGGGGGAAACGGGTTGGAACTTCTTCGGGTTGCACTTGCGCATTATGTTCCTGATACTTCCTAAGGACGCGTCACAATTGCAACACCGGGGAGGGTTGGGACCGAACACCGAAAATGTGTGCGTCGCGTATGAAAAACAGGTTTCAATCTGCATGAGCAGCGTCAGGCTGCTTCTTTGAGCCAAGTAGGACACGACGGATTTGCAAGTGGGCCATGCCAAGGGTACACCCAGCTTCTAACGCAGGAGCCGTGCTTCGCTGGCGCGTCGTACAATATCGCCTGGCTTGTGACGATGTCATCCTGTTACCACATCGGAAGTGGCCGACGGTATGCGACAGCGATCGATCGTGGCTGGCACTGGTGGCGCGATTTCGCTTCCCTCGCTGCCACTCGCACGATCGATGTGGCATTTCGAGCCATACGATCTCGTCAATCTGTAAGTTCACGATCTTCGCGTCAAGATAAGCGAAATCAGGATACAAGTTTTTCGCCGAATGGCGAAGAGACTGTACATTGTGAACACCGAGCCTACACAGGTTCGGTGTTGCAATTGTGACGCGCCCTAACAAGCCACGGGTGCTCACGCATTCCGTTTCGCGTTCGAATTTCTGTTTGATGAATGACGATGAGTTTCCAGTCCACCTTTCCTCTCGCGGAGCAGCGGCCACTCACAGAACTGCTGAGCCGTGCGGCGAAATGCTCACCCACTGCGATGCGAACCAGACCGCTTTCAGGCTTGCCAGCGTCAGAGGCGGAAACCTCGCTCGACCATCTGAAGAATGGGTTGCTGTCGCGGCGCTAGGGCCTAGAGTAAGGCCCGCAATCGACCGTTTTGAGACGTCTCAAAACTCGGCGCTAGGGCCTAGAATAAGGCCCGTAATCGACCGCGAACGAAGCCTGCCTCTTAACGCGATGTGCGGCAACGCACGCACGACAAGCCTAATCGCCATTCAAAACGTTCCGGCACCAATCGCAAGGTTCCTTCCCTTGCCACGTTTCCAACCCAGACCTAAGCGTAAGACCCGCAGTCGCTCGCAACAGCTCACAGTCGCTCACAAACACGATCAACTACTGTTGTCAACTGCGACCAATCTTGCGACGATGTGCGATCGTCAAGCGAACCTTCGCAACACCACGCTGCCTGCCACTTGCGCGAGGAGCGCACCAAGGCACGACAAGATGTAACGCCAATCAAAGCAGGTCCCTTCCCTTCTCGACGTTTCAGCCGTAAGGGCCTCTACAGCTCGCTCCAATTCCGTTCACACCACCCTCGGTTTGAAACCACTTTTCTCTTCACCTCTCACCGGCGTAGTTAGTGTTGAAAATGATTAAAACAATGTTAAGACTACTTGTTTTTTAATCCAGTCGGGCATCGTTTATCCGCTCACCTCCATCCCGCTTCGATCCACGCCTTCAGCGCGATCCAATCGCTCTCCGTTAGATGCGCCACGATCTCCCATGGCGGCACCTCCAAAGCTGACACCTTGGTTCGGCGCCGCGACTCCGATCCTCCGGAAAAGTCCCGCGGAGGTACACCCGGCGCACCTCCGGCGCTTCCCCCTCCGCCGCTACCCGCACCAGTCCCTCCCAAAGGGCTTCCGCCTGGTGATTGCTGCGCGAGCAGAGATTGCGCTTGCGCTTGCCCCTGCGCCTTCACCTGCGGCGATTGCGCAAGCCGCTGCTGGTGCTCCGCGCGCTGCTGCTGCAGAACCTGGTGTTGCGCGACGGCGTGCGAAATGTCGGTTCCCGCCGACTGCAGCTCGTGCGGAGTCATTCCGCCCATTCCGCTCGAGCGGCGGCGGAGCTTGACGCCTCCGCGGCCATGGTGCGCGGACTGCTGCGCGCCCATCGCTGCGGAAGGGTGTGCCTTTTTGGCGGACTACTGACAATCTTCGGCAATGTCAAATGGTAAGAGAATAAGGCTAAACTACTGAATTAAGAAATCAACTCTGCCGCGCTAACAATGACACAATACTATATCGTTCGCTCAAAGGTCACCGGGATCGCACATGAAAAGGGCCTGACGACATTGTTGCGAATCATCCAAGGGCTCCATGAAAAATCGCGAGCGTTTCAAAAGCGAGTTTTCCGAGGGACTAATTGACGTTCTACACCGGAAGTGTCTGTTTCCGAGGGACTAATTGACGTTCTACAGCCGAAACGCGACGCACGTCGACTTGAAAGTGGTGAGGTTAATCCGTCCTTATCGCGGCTTCCTGTGTGGTCCCTAACACTCGCGCTAGCTTTCCTCTCTCCGAATCGAGCATGATGTGAGTACAAGGTAACGACCAACCTAACTGGCTTCACGAAACCTAATACAATTGCAGCAATGTGGTGTTTTATAACACAGAATCATCACATAGTGTAAGATAAACATTTGCCGGTGAATACATGCACGTGTCGTCTCCAGCGTGATGCTCGCTCAAATAGGTGTGAGTGCAGTTACAAGTGTCATCTTCAGCGTGATGCTCACACACACCTTAGGTGTGCATCAGGCAAAGTGATGAGCGTTCACAGAACGCCAATCACGCAAGCTTCCCATCCCAAACTTGAGTTCTGGTTGATGAGTGTGTAACATTGTGGTTTCACGCGTTTATATACGGTTATGTAAGGTCTTGTGTTATGTGTCACTCCGCCACTCACTCGGTTCCGTTTCCCGAACCAGCAACTGTTCAAACTCCCACCAAAGGCCTGGAAAGACGGGGTTATGAGAATATACATTCTCTCATTTCAAGGGGTTCCCAGCACCTCTCCAAAGGGGTCTCCATGTCTCAGCAAATTCGGGACCTCAGCAGCATAGGGGTGTCTGTTCTCATACGCAGCGCCTATGCATGTTGGGAGCTGAACACCTGAACCTCCTTTTCAGTACGTGTACAAGCGCCCTTTGCGAGTGGCTTGTCTGGAAAATTTTTGAAATCGAAAATGTATTTTCTCAGAAAACCACGATTCAACGCCTCCATTTCTAACGGAAAACCAGACGCCCGAATACAAGTGTTCCGGGTTAGAGGCCCTCGCTAGAAGAGTCCTTTTTCCCCCTTGAGTAGAGTTTTCCGATATCGCCTAGGATTGGCCCGACCCCTATAGTCCCTTTCTGGGCGGGAAATTTTGCAGCTTGAGCGAATCATTGTACGAATCAGCTCCGCAGCCAATCAGAGGCTCCAGATCGAACCAGACCAACATTCAGGGAGAACGATAAATAAGGGATCATCGATTCGATATTTAACTTTGAAATTGTAAGTAAATTTTTCTCTTTACTGTGATTACTTTTCAATCCTGTCGCGCGGTCTCCAGCGCGCTCGACGATGACATCTCATTTATCTCGCTTACAGGGTAAATTTAAAGTTTTTACCTTCTATTCGACCCCCAAACCATAACTGATTTTGTTTTGTTTTGCCCGTTAGTCATGCGGACATTGATCAGCGCGGGGAACCGTGCAACGAGAAGTTGAAGCAAGCGTGGTCCGAATCTACGTAATAGACGAAATCCAAAACTGGTAGCAAACAAACCACTATTCACGCAATTTTCTTTAAAAGGACTATAAGTATCGTGTTTTGCCCGGGGTTTGAAGGTTTTCGCACATAGTCCGCGCGCGGCGTCTCATTCCGTCGGACTATAAACGATAACATTTGTACTCCAATTTCTCTGCAGCTAGGTTCGTGCAACTCTTTTGGAGAGCTGTGCTGGCAGAATCCACCCTTTTGATTGGTTCATGACTTGTGCACGATGCTCACAATGGTGGAGGTGGAGTGGAGATGTTGGTGCGAGGTGACGTGGACGAGCACCCCCAATCCCATAACCTCAGGAAAAATTTCAAAGATCTCGCAGAGCCATCGTGAGTTGGTTGGTCGTGCTTCTTGGGCAGGAAAGCTCATTTGTCCGAAGAGACAAACAATGAATGTAAAGCCGACTCTCGTTGCTTGAAAAAACTACAGTGAAGTTGTGCATGTACCTACACCACAAACATTTTCTCAAAGCCCGCAGCCGAAACTGTTCAAAGCGGCTTCTAGCAGTTTTCTGTGCAGCGCTGTTGCCCCGATGACGTCAGTAAATGGTTCATGGAGTTGTTGACAGTGGATTTGTGTTGTCCGTGCAACAGATTCTTGGGGCCCACACTTTTGAAGGGGTGTGGTGTACTACAGTGATAACCTACTCAAAGGAAAATCCCTTTCCCTTACTTCGTGTCCCTGCTCAGCGCGTACACCACTGTTCCCGCCAACAGCACCCCACAATATTCCGTTACCACTCGCGACATTCGCCTCGACACCATTCCCGCCACTGTTCACGATGCGACCCAACCTCACGGTTCGGTTGGTAACCCGCGCTCCGGACCTCTGCCTCGATAGTCCCCCAACCTCGGCACCAGGCCCGTCGCGCACCACATTTTTCACACGTTACCGTTACCACCGTAGCTTCGCTATATATTATTCGCTCAATCCTTCGCTCATTGTATCTTGTCTCGATAGTGCAATCCTCGCTCGCTCACTCAATTGCACTTGTAACACCTGGTTATCAGAGCCTACGATCTTCTCTCGGACCGCACCCACACCTTCGCTTCCCCACTATCTCAATTTTGGAGGGGGTAGACGTCTCTCAGCGACCAAGCACCGCCGCTCGTAGTGCTCTCTCGTACGCACGCACGGCCACGACAGAGGCTCTCGCTAAGCTCGCCCGACACTCCCGCCATGGCTGAAATCACCCTCGCGACACTGACGCAAGAGCAGCTCGACCGTCTTGTACGCCAACTCGAGGATTCGGCCCTCGAAATCGCCACACTCACGGCGGAACGCGACTCTGCTCGCCAGCAATCGACAGGGAATGCACCAGCACCAACAACCGCACCTGCACAATCAGAGGAGCCGATCGAAATCTCGTCAGGCACACCAACACAACATGACAGCGTGGGACAACGCTCAGGCATAGCCAGTGAAGGTGCCGCTCACTCAATGCCCGGCATGGAGAGAAACAGGGCCGCACCGAGCCCGCGGGAGCCCCGCGAAGCCCGTCGGCACGTGGAATTTGCAGCGACAAGTGGCGAGTATGCCATCACGGCACCAATGCCACTCAAGACGCAGTGTGCGCCCTGTTTCGACCCGAGCCAACGTGGAGGTCCGACGGTTCAATCGTGGGTCTTCACGATGAACGTCTTTTTCGACGCGAATTACGTCGAGTCGGACGCAGCGAAGATTCGCTACGCTGTTTCGCTGCTGAGGGGCCCCGCCATGGACTGGTGGCGAGTCATCGTGACGTCGCCACGCGCCTACGAGCCACCGTCGCAAGAAGACGGGCCCACGGGCCCAGCCGTCACCTGGAGTTCATTCTGCAAGACAGCCCAGTACAGCACGTGGGATGCGTGGTGCGCAGGGCTTCGGGCGCGTTTCGAGCCGATTGCGGCTTCGATTTCGGCGCATCAGAAGCTGCGCACTTGGCGGCAGTTCGGGTCGGTTCAAGACTACACGAGTGGTTTTCTCGCACTATGCAAACAAGTCGGCTATATGCACGAAGCGGAGCAGGTGGACCGTTACGTCGGAGGGCTAAAGCCGGACATCTCGCATGAAATCATGCTACGCGGGCTCTCGAATTTCAACGAGATCCTCGCGCTCGCCGAGAAAATCGACATCCTACGACGACCGAGACCGGGGTCCTACGGACAACGTCCTCGGGGGCCGATCGAGCACGCCACCGTACACGCCGTTGCGACAAATGCAGCTGCCGCGCCGTTTAAAGGGCGCTGATTTGCTTGCAATAGGCCAGGCCATCGTAAGAGTGAATGCTCAGAGGAGCTGAGGCGCCGCGGAACAGAGCAGGGGCGAGAGTCTCAGAGGCCGGGAAACGCCAGCAGTCAGTAGAAGATGGGCCAACTACTGACGAGACTGCCGGCTCGCCCAACTTCACCGACCCTCACCAAGTCACAGTACCGATTCACGCTATCGATCGGGCTCGGACGAATAAGGAGGGTACAACGACGGATTGCCCCGTACTGATTCACGGGAAAATACAGGGAGCAGCAATGAAGATTTTTATAGACGGAGGCGCAAGTCACAGCTTAGTTATTACCGCGACTGCAAGGAAGCTGCAACTAACACTTAGTCGGTGCTTACCGGAGGTAGATGCACGCTTAGTTGACGGAACGCCGCTGGCCATACGGGAAAAAGTGGAGAGAGTAAAAGTCCGCTGTGGGGGGAGCTTCGGGTTTACACAGGAAATGCTCGCGACGACATCGGATGGGCACGACATATTACTGGGACGTGATTGGCTGCGACGATACAACCCGCGAATCGAGTGGACGACGGGTAGCTGCACTGTGCGAAGTAGCGGTAACTGGGTTGAACTACCTCGCTGGCAGTCGCCCGAGTCATCAACGGTCCATGTCAACGCCATCATGATGAAACGGGCTGTCGCCGTTGGAGCTGACGTGTACGCGGTAGATATCACGATAGTGGAAGAAGCAGAACAGCCGAGTGATTTCCAGAAATTACTGGCGGCAGTACCACCCGAGCTCCAAGAACTATTGAAAAAATTCCCGGGGATCTTTCCCGATGACTTACCGGAGGGACTGCCACCTCAGCGGGCGCATGACCACCGAATAGAATTAGAACCCGGGGCACAGCCAATCGTACAGCGTCAGTTCAGACTGACACAGCCCGAGCTCGACGAGCTAAGGAAGCAATTAGAATACCTGTTAGAGAAAAAATTCATCCGACCGAGCTCCTCGCCATTCGCCGCACTGATCCTGTTCACACTGAAAAAGGACGGAGGGTTTTGCATGTGCATCGACTACAGGGCACTGAACAGGGTTACAGTCAAACCGCGATACCCCATCCCCCCGCGCCGACGAACTGATAGATCAAC